GGCCACCACATTCAATTCAACACCAGCTAACGCTATAGTGTGTGTTTCTTTCATCATGTGCAGATTGTTGGAAAAAATAGTTTTTTTTGGTGACTATAATTAAATATTAAAATGGGTTCTAATCATCTATTGTGTTGGGTCTAAGTGGGTTTAGATACTTTGCAATGAGATCTTTACACTACAAAAAGAATGACCAAAAACTATTGAGAATTGAATGAGAAATTGCCTCATGAAGTTAGCTTCATGAAAGAGATATTGGGATTAGTGTGTAACATCTATCCCACATTGATTGTAGAAGAATACATTGAAGAGTATATATATATATATATATTTTTTTCCAGACCTAGGGTTTGGTGTGGCTGATGCAGGATTATTATATACATGTATATTGGTGATAATTACAAATAAAATACCAGAAAATACAAATAAAAAAATTACAATAATTATTGAAAGGGCTGAGGAGCGGAAAATTCGTTACCTTTAAGGAAATTCAAGCCCTCTGTGGTTAGGCAAAGCCTCACACCGGTGCAGCAGAAAAAAATTTGACTTGTCCCCCCAGGATACAACAGCCCGACTAAGTCGTGTGGTTAACTAATACTGCACAATTGGTTGAACCCAAAGCTTTATCACATATACTATTTTTTATTTGCCTGATAATCTCACAAATAAGAAACTTAAGCTACAATAAGAGAGGCGAAAGGCTCAATTTATAGGAGAGGAAAGCTTGGTCACTAAGAAAGGGGTTAACTTGGAGGAAAAGTATAGGAGAGGAAATTTGTGGGAAATTTTCTTGGAGGCTTGGTGGATAAGAATAAAGACTTAACTTGGAGACTTGGTGAGCAAGTTTTCTTGGAAGAAAAAAAATGATTAACTAGGAGAACAAGTTATTTGGAGCCCAATCATACAATATAATGTATAACACATTATAATATTAAAATATCTGCTAACAATGTGTATAATATGTTTATAACTCCTGCAATATTGCAGAGGTTAATGATGCATTATTGACCAGCTATAAAGGCTGGAGGCTCCTCCTCTCTCCCCTATACATGTATAAATTGAGATCCTCCTGTCAAGCCTTAACATAGAAATTTTTGCTTCCATTTTACAAATTAGTTTGCCAAAAAGTTCCTACAGTGAGAGAGTGTTGCCACGAAGTCAGTTTGCCAGAAAGTTCCTACAGTGAGAGAATGCTGCCACGATTTTTGTTCGCTAAACTAGACAAAGAGTGCTTCTACGGTAGCTGATTTTTTTACCATTGTATCTTGGGAGACAGACGCCAGAATTCCTCAAGCACTCGACTTGTGAGGCAGCGAAAATTTGTTTTAAGGAAATTGCTACTGTGCAGGCTTCAGTTTGGTGCCGGAATTCCTCAAGCACTCGACTCGTAAGGAAGCGAAAATCTGTTTTAAGAAAACTGCTACCGTGCAAGTTTCGGTTTGATTTCTTTACCATTTTATTGTATTAAATATTTATATTGTAATTTAATTATAATTCTCAACCTGTATTCTTAATATATAATTTTTCAGCCTGTATCCTTAATATATAATTTTGATTTATTCGTGAATCTATTTATTTAATTTCATAATTTCGACCATAAAGATCCAGTTACATATACAAAATTCTGAAAATATGGCTAACGACTTCGCCAATGCAGTGTTACAACATCCAACTAAAACAAGAATATATGCATAAAACCAAGTCAGCTACAAATGCTTTTCAAGGTGACGAGCCAACCATTCACCACTTGGGCCACACTGACTATATATATATATATATATATACACTAGTGAAAAACATGGACGAAATTAAGAAAAGATTAGAAAGGGTCATAACTCTTTGTTTCTGTGAAAAATATAATTTGTCATAACATTTTAAAAATATATATCTCATTTTATACATAAAATGATCCTAATATAAAAAATACACATCCTGTTCTTATCTCATCTTGCATTCTCTTTTTACTTTATACCGAATTTTTTTTTTTCATCCTATTCGAAATTGCTTCTATAATATTTGAATTTTTTTTTATTTGTATAGATATAATTTATATATCATATTGTACATACATGTATACTTATGTATACGGTGAAAAATTTTATTTATCTTTTGACCCCACCGATAATGAAATCCTGATTTTGTCCCTGGTGAAAAGGTTTGTGCAAGGCACGGACTAGTATAACCTTTTGACTCTAATATTTTATTGAGTTTATTAAATGAAAGGAAATAATATGACATTTTTTAATATTTATTTTATATTCGGTTCATTCAAAAAATAATGAAAAATGTATTGCAAAAAAATAATAATTATTCAATAAAAAAATAGAAAAAATAATCATTGCATTCCATTGCACTTTATTCCATTCCATTGCTTGAACTTTTTCTCCAAAAATAAGATTAGTTTATTACAAAATTGACTAGAATCAATGATTAAATATATGATAGAAATTTTAATTTCTATTATAAAGTAAAATTATGGAATAAATAGATGGGATAAAATTTTTGTTCAAATGAGTGGATTATATTTATTATTTTTGTTAGGATGGAATAATCAAATGGTGATATTACACGCGAATGATCTTATGATATTATCGTTAAATTTTGATTTGGCTTCATTTGTAAAAAAATATTTTTAGACCCGTACCATGCACGGGCTATTCTTGTGATAAATTTATATTTCCAAAATACATATCTTTTAACAAATTATTTTGTTTGATTTGATTTTAAAAAAAAATATTTTTAGACGAATTTTCATTTGTTTTAATAGATTTTTTCATATTTTTTTTCAAATTATAATTTTTTACAATTTTTTTTCCATTTATTATGTTAAATTAAAAATTCTAATAAGGAATAGTTGTAATTTCTAATATTGTAGGGACATTTCATATTTTAAACATATCTCAGGGTGTATTTGTAATTTATCAAAAACCAATATATTTATGTGTCATAACTGACCAAAAATCTTTGCATTATTACGAAAAAAACCCTTCACTCAAATTAGTACCACTAATATTGATAAATATGATCAAAGAAGAGGGTATAACGGGAAATTCAAATTATAGGTTACCATTAGTAAATTATACAAAATGAAATGGCAAAATAAGAAAGAAAATATATTTGTAAGGAGTGCGGCTATTAGCACTTCATCAATTATTTTAAACTCCCCATTTCTTTGGACTCTCACTTATAAATTGTAAAATCCTTAAAATTGCTTTTCTTCTCCCCAAATAATACCAAAATTATCCTTATAAAAATATTTCACCCATTCAAATGCACACCCTTACAAAAACCCTAACAAAACCCACAACGATGGAACCTCCAAAAACCAACGGAGAAAAAATTTGTGGTGATTAAGAAGTTTTTTCTTTGTTTCATTACGAGGTTTGTCAATTTGTTTGTTTGTTTTTTGTTTGTTTTTTGTTTTTTTTTTTCACCTTTTTTCACACACACAACACAACTCACTTTCATACTTCTTTGGTTAGTTTTCTATCATTCATCCATAGCCTCATTGTACTTGTATGCTCTCTATGTGAGCAAAATTGAGCAGAATTTCACCCATCGGTTGACCACCAAGGGTGTTCCAACCTCCTTTATTTGTTTGATTTTGTTGCTGCTTCGATTATCTATTTCTGAACAAATAAGAAATGTTTGGTTGCCTGTTCCCGAACAAATAAACAGTGTTCGGGTCTATGTTCCCAAATTCAGTCATATGTTCGGAAGTTCAATCTTGAAAAAATGACGAACAGTTTTTATTATTATTGCTATTTTTTTCAATAAACTTACCCTTACAAGGCCAATCTTCTCTGAACTAAGAACACCATCAAAGTTATGAATCTTTTCTAAGCTTTTATTGTTGTACTCCTCTCGTCTCATGAAGTTGTGGTTGCCAAAAAACTTCCACTCATTGTCTTTGCCGGAGAAATATATGTAATCAAATGGTTACCACCATTGCCCCCGAAATATTGCCGCCAAAGGATTTTTAAGATTTTGAGTGTGTGTAGGCTTTGAAGGTAAGATTTGAAGAAGATGGATAGGTGGTTACTTTCGTAAACCCTAACTCATGATATAATGAGTATGTTAACTTAATTATGAGATGGGGTGTCCCAAAAATATTAATGTCATTATTAGCAATTTCACTTGAAATTATTATTGTAATAAAAAAAGCTAAAAAATGAGGGGTTCAAAATAATTGATGAGATACTAATAGCATCACTCTTTGTAATTTTATCCAAGATCAAAATATTTATGATTTATAACTGACCAAGATTTTTTGCATAGTTATGAAAAAACCTTTATCTAAATTAGTGCCACCAATATTGGTAAATAATACAAAATAAAAGGACAAAATAGAAAAAACTAAAATGCAAGCCTCTAATAGTAAATAATTTCAAATCAAAGGGCAGAATAAAAAATATAAAAAAAAACAAGTCTCAAAAAGGTAAACACTTCTTATATATATATATATATATATATGTTTTTTCCTTGCCCATATTCCACGCCAATTTAAGTTTTTTTTTTTTTTTTCCCTTGGTAGCTACCTTCCACTTCTCAAAGTTAAAACCATTTGATTTTGCATCAAAGAATATCATGGAATATACACAGCCACATGTCAGGATTGCATTGAACCTTGTTCAGACATTTTTCATACCGAAACCATCTACAAATAATGAACCAATGTGAAGCAAATTTAAAGAGTGCTTGGTAATGGTACTGAGGGGGTGAGTAAGTAGTGAACTTGACCTTTGGCATACTTTGGCATTTAAAAGAACATGAATCAAGCCAACGCTTGGTGTATGCTGGAGATCAGAGCATTTCATGACCAAAAACTGCCTTAAAAGTAAATAAAGATTACAACATCCTGATTGCGGTGAACATTACACACCCCATCGTGGATAGGCACACGTCTGCAAAAGGATGGTTAAAGTTCTGTTTGTTTTCTTTTATTTCACTTTTGTTGAGGTACAAAACTAAACTGCATTATTCACAGAAACACCGCCAACTTTAACAACATAGTATCATGAAGATTGATCGATGCCAAAATACTTGGGCACCATCTGAATAGATGTCATGTCATCCAACAATTATGCACAAGTTTCACAAATTACAAAACACCAAACCATGCTAACAGGTTTAAAATATACAGACAAAACAAAACCCAGCTACCAACACCCCACATCTCCTTAATCTTGCAACATCAATCAATTCAATGTCATCATTAACAAATCTTTGCTTACATTGGAGTGTCAACTAATACCTTGGGTACCAAAACATACCTTTAATGCCCTCTGGGTCAGGTTCAAAACCTAGATTCCGATAAAATTCCACAACTGCAATGATTATGTAACAGAACGACGTCAAAATCAAAGCTTCAAGAATCCAAAGTATTGTCAACTGTGCATTGAGAAGACCAGAGTTGACATGGGAAATTTCTCATGTTATTTATCAATGAAAGAAGCTTTTAGAAATTAAAAATACTAGATGAATAAGGAAAAAATATCACAATATTAGAGTCAGTATATGGATTCAGAATCTCCTTACGAACTAAATAATTCATTGTTCTCGATTACACAGATAGGTCCCTTACTTTAATCATACCAAGATTGCAATATTTTGTGGTTATACCTTGACTATCTGCAAAGAGTGTAATATTGCCGATGTCCCTTTGCAAGAGAGCCCTTATAAGCTTTTCAACAAGGGCCTTCCCAAGACCTTGGCCCTGCATGTGATAGAAATCTTAAAACAACAATTTGGTAGATTGCATAAATTCGAAGGAACATAATTGTTCAGTTACACATCACTAGTATTTTAGGTGCAACATGTGGACTCAAAGGGTAGGTCCCACCCAATGTATCTACCCCTCCCAGATCCCCATCCAATGGTGACTAAACTGCGCGTATGTGGACTCAATCCTAACCACTCTTATCTTCTCTATTGTCCATCTAATGAACCTATGATATCTGAAAGACTGAAAAGCATGCCTAGATCAATAGAATTAAAACAAAGCTACGTTTGGGACCTAAAAGGCTAATAAAAGCTAAGCAATCTAGACTTGGTCAGAATATGTGTTGAAGTTCACGCTTGCTATATGGTATTCCAAAGACCTTTTGTCTTGATTTGGGATATCGTGATTGTTTGAGATTAAAGTAGAGAATCCCTATAGACCACAAAGGTGCACTGGTTGCAAAACCTTCAGACACAATCTTTGCACTTGTCCCTCCTCCCCCAATCCTTTGAACAAAGTGCATGAACTCAAACAAGAATGGAGAGCGAAAGAAGATCAAGAAGACAATAGGGAATGGCAAGCAGTTACTAAGAGAAAAAAAGTGGTGAGTTTCCAATCCTATAGAGTTGCCTTTGGATGGTAAATTGAAGAGTAATGCTGCTTCTACTTGCATCATGCCTAGAACCATCTATAAGCTCAAATAAGTGTATTAACATTAACTCTTTATTGTTGCCGATCAAAAAAAAAATTAACTCTTTATTGTCTCATTGGAGAGGATGATGCTGTCAATTTAAGTTCTCCAATATCTAGGGAAGAAAATAAGAGAAAGCTTGATGAGAGGATCAAACACCTCATGCAAGGTAGAGAGAAAAATTCACTGCATCTTTTGAAAATTTTATGCCTAAACAATCCAAGAAAAAGGCTTAAAACACAAAAGGATGATCTACAGAATTAGCATCTACAGTGGCAACCTCAATTGTTTTATCCTGACTAAATCTCTCGTGTTGTGAGAGTTTATTTATTTTTTATATTTTATATATTTTTTTAATTCCTAGCCTTTTGGTTCCTTAGAATACTTTTCTAGGTTTCATTGTTTTCCACCACTTTTAGAGGTTTGTTGTGCCTTTTGGGCAGTTTTTTGAACTTTGTTGTGAATCTCTTCTTTTTTGGTAATAAAAAATTCACTTACCAAAAAAAATAAAAAATAAACTTGAAAAACACAAGTGCCTGCATTTGAGTAATCTGCACGGAATTTTCTTGGGAACAAGTAAACTAAAAAATCTCAAACGTGTCCACAAGGAACAATGACTAGCAGTCTAGAATGCACTAATCTGACTTACTATTTCAAGCGTCAATTTCTAAGAGTAAGCATTAGAGAATGCCATTTTATACCAAAAAGGGAAGGCCATCTCAAAGCCAGAATGAAATCATTGATGCAGTAAGCCAGTAACCATCATTGCCAGTTTAGGGAAGCAATTTCCCTTTTGGAGGCCAAAATATAAGGATTTTTTAAGCTGCAAGTCCAACAAAAGGTGTGCATGGTAGTTTTAGGTCCCTTAGACGAAGAATATTTTTTATTTTTTATTTTTCTTTGTCGTTTCCTTAGAACTTCAGTTATCCAGTTAATCTCAGTCCTTTGTAACTAAAAGTAAGAAATAATTAAGTTTCCACAAAAGATACTCCACTGGTACCGTATCACATTGCTGAAATGCTTAAGTTCACATAAATTCAAAAATGTTAGTGTAGTAGTGGTACAACCGCAGGTAGGATTCTTTCGTAATTGACAGATTCTTATTCTAAATGCCTTCAATATCAACTATTTCAAAACATATGCATCAATTTTTAACTTTATTTTAAAATTACAGTTCAAAAAGTAAGTGACAAGTCTTTTTTTAATCCTGCCACCAGCATGTTTGTTCCCACACAATAAACATAGAATACCTGATAGTTGGGATCTACTAGAACATCCCAAATTGTTGCATTGAAGGCGTGATCTGACGTAGCACGAGCCATGCCTATAAGCTTCTTTTGGTCATCAAACTCTGCCAAGGAACTTTCCAAGTACACTAAGATGTTCATCATTTATTTTAAAATGGGGAAAGTATATCACAGCTGAAAATAATTTTTGGCACATACAGAAGCATAAATGATGGCATTGAATAACTAATTTGCACAAAATACAAGAATTCCATTGCACAGTCTTATTTATTAGGTACCTGCTCCAGGTGATTTTCTTATGGAATGTAATGCGGCTACCATGTAGCTATTTTTCAAAGCTGCAGCTAGTTTTGACAGTGGCCTCCGAGGCCAGCCAACCTATTAACCCATGATGAAATTAGACTAAACTTTATTATATGTAAATAAAATAGTGCTAGTAAACAAAACTAGTAAAACAGGGCATATCATCCCTGAAATTCATAATATTGAGAGAGAGAGAGAGAGAGAGGTAGTATAGCGATCCCAGTTGTCCCTTTACTGTTCAGTTGTATTCCGGACTCGGTTCCGTGGAGTTGGTAGTGGTATCTATCTTGTTGTCGTCCTTTAAATCCATTTGTTTGAGTTTTAGCATGTGTTGGGCTTGGTTGTTACAGGTTGGTAGAGCTTTGGCTCCCATTGTTGTTGCCCAGTTTTTGAATGGTCCGCTCGAGCGGGTCATTTTGCGCTCGAGCGGGGTTTACACCCATCCAGCATTTCATGTCCCTGCAAAACTTCTGCAGGTGTGTTTTCTACGCTTGAGCGGGTTTCTTGCGCTCGAGCGGGTTGCGCTCGAGCGGGCTTGTTGGCGCTCGAGCGGGTAGTACCTCGTTGGTGAAAGTTCTGGGAGATGAAAATCTACGCTCGAGCGGACTGGTCTTTCGCGCTCAAGCGGGTGTGCTTTGTCTTTGTGTCTTGGAGCTCGAGCGGGCATTCTTGCGCTCGAGCAGACCCAGTTTTCTGTTCTTGATGCTCGAGCGTCTTGTTATCTGCTCGAGCGGGAATGTCGTATATCAGTTGGCAGCTGGGCTTTTTAAAATCACTTTTTACATTCTCTCTCTCTTACTTTCTAAAAACACTTTTTGAGAACTTCTCTCTCTAGGATTTCCCTTCTCTCTAGGGTTTGATCTAGTTAGAGTGTCTCCCTATCCTCCGGCCTTTGTAAAAAGTGTGTGGATCATTGAGGGCTCCGTTTTAATCCCTGGATCTTGGAGTTTGGAGCATTTTGGTTTTCTTCAACTTCTCCGTTTGAGCCTAACTTCGAGGTAGGGATATCCTACTCCTCTTTATGAGCTTTGTCTTTGAATTTTAGCATTTTGATATATTGGGGGTTGTTAGGTAATTTTGAAAAAGTTTGGGTCTTTGTGTAATTTTACAAAAGATGGGGTTTCATTTATAATTAAACCTATATGCATGTTTGGCATAGAGAAATGAGATAGATGATGAACTATGGATAAAAGTGGAACCTTGGGGTTGTTATGTTAATTATGGAAAAATGCCCTAATTAATTGGATAAATTAATTTGTATAATTAATTTTGAGAAATGAGGAATTGAATTGAGAATATTCAAATTGAAAAGATTATGGGATTAACGGGTGTAGTTGGATTCATTTAATCGCTCACCCAGGTTGAATGTTGATAATATATCCATTTAGTGCATTTGTTTTCTGTTTAGAAATAACTACTTTGGGCTTTCGGTGGAGGATAGTCTTGATTGTTGTAGACAATGTATGATGATTAGGCAAACTAAAACTAATCGATTGAGTATGCTATCGAATATAGCGGTTGGAATAATACATCGACTTTATGTATTGATTGTTTATGTATATGATCTATGTTTATATACATTGTGTGTGGGGGAGGAGATAGGGGATGTACTCCACGGTTTAGGAAAAGATAGGGGATGGACCTCTAAGCCGGATTGTATATGACATTGATACAGCACTACCATGTGTATCAAGTGTTGATTATGGAAGTGTTTAAATTGATTTGATATAGCACTAAAATGTATATCGTTATCAATTGTGAAGTATAAAAGTGTTTCTATGTTATGTAGATACAGCACCAAAATGTGTATCATTCGTATAGTATAGGAGTGGTTTATGTGTTATTGATACAACATCAAAATGTGTATCCATCATGAATTTCAAAAGTATTTTTAAGATGAATCTTATTCTCATTAAGTTATTTAGCTAAGTTTTGAGCCTTGTTTTCAAACTCAAGGTTGAAAAAGAAATGAGAAATGAAATGTAACATGGACTTAAATGTCATGAAACTGGAATGTGATATAAGTGGGTGTATCGGTGTTGACCATCTATCAACTGGCTAATCTTTTAGTCATTTCATAGTTGGTTTAGTGTATTTCTGCTAAGCTGTGGCTCACCCTTTATGGGACATCATTTTCAGGTGCAGGTAGCATGCCACCTCCAAGGACATAGCTTGGAAGGCTAGAGGCAGACAGATTGCTTTTGTTGTTTGCTTTCTTTTGATGTATTACATGTAAATTCAAGCCAATGGCTTAACATGTATTGAGTTAGTACTCTTCTTTTTGTAACTAAGTGTTAACTTGGAAAGCTGTAAGCCTGTAGGGCATTTGCTTTTGTTGTTAACATGTAATACTTTTGTAAGAACTACTCTGATTAATGGAAAGATGGTTATCTTCTTATATCCTTGCATGTCTAAAATGATGGGTTTCACGTATTATTTCGAGGGCGTTACAGGTAGAGAGAGTTTTGAACTGAAGGGTATTAATTAACCAATGGTTTAAAACCAACTACAAGATCCTTTAACAGTTCAACCAAGACAACTCCATCAAAGCAGGGCACATCAATTGATTTTGTACAAGCCAATAAAAGGGTTTCAAATTTTCAATAATCTGGCATCTGATTAGAGAAAAAGGGCATGCCAAACTACCATTTGTATAGGGAAGTACGCAATAAATTTATGTACCAACATGCACAAATTAAAGCACACAAAATCTAATGGTATGCTCGTGTATACACTACATAAGACTATGCCTTAAAAGGCAAACAATTTTCCAAGTTTTGCATGCACACAGAAAGGTCCTGGAAAAGCAAATTACCTTATCACATAAGGCTTGGAGATCATAAACATCAACATCTCCACCTGAAGAAAAAATTATCTGTTCAATCGATCCATCTGGATGAGTCTTCTCAACTAGAACAAACTCTTGAGGCAATGGACCTTCCCCTTCTTCGAGAGTGGAGGTTGGTTCAATAACTTGTGTGGTATTGTTTTTCAAAAATCTGCAACGCAAAGCCAGATAAACCAGTTTTAGCCAATCCATGAGATAAATAGATTAAATAGGAGCACAGCTTGCAGTATGATGCATAGGTCAACAAAAAGCTAATTAATTAATCACTAGATAATGGTGGAGGTCTATTCTTAGAAGCACAGGTACGGGCACAGACATGGATAGGAAACAATACAGACACGACGCCAACATGGCAATTTTCAATAAATCTTATATTTCACATTATTTAAAACATGAATATACATATATGAAAACAATAATCACTCCTTCACTTTTTACAACATATGAAATGTTTTGATTCAAATGGTCAACAAAATGATAGCACAACTTCTGAAAAGATGGTTTATGTATGTGTGTACGTTTGTTTACAACTGTTACTTACCCTGATCTGATGGATTCCCAAAAGCCAGCCTTCATTCGAGAAACCTTAATCTTTCTATTTCCTATGGATAAGATGATAAAAAACAACAAAGAGATTAAGAATAAGAACTATGAAATTATACAAGTAGTAAATTAGTGATCTATCATATTTCTAATAGCTCAACAACCTTCCTAATGAAACTCATACAAGGATGAATCGAGCTCATCAGCCAGGATGATGAGATTAACTATAGAAGTGAAGTAATATGTGAACAAATAGTTACATAAAGCAAGTGCAAGCCCTTGCATGACCACACACACAACCAAGTACAGAACTCGCAAGTGCAGCTGCCGCCCTAGACATAAGAGCTCCAAGGCAAATGAGTCAAAGTATGAAGAGCCCAACACAACTTGGCTCGCGCGATGAAGCCAACTTGCTTGGGAACACCATGGTTCACACGGAGTCCTCACCCACCATGGTCCTTCATACATACCTCATTCCAGCACCGACATGACCCCGTAAACTGTCCTGCTACATCGGTCCGACATGACCCCGTAAACTGTCTTCTACAACGGTCCGACATGACCCCATAAACTGTCTACTACATCGGTCTGACACGACTATACAGTGTCTCCTATACTCTTTTATTTTTATGTATTTTTCTTGTTTTGTTCCTCTCTTCAAACTCAAGTTGGTTAGTTTCTATCCTCCTTGAGTTTGCGGGGGGCTGTTAGAATTTCCCATCTTTACCTTCACCTACTCCACTACACACTCCACTTCACCTACCTCCACTTCACCACACACTCCACTTTGAATTTGTTTTTGGAATTCACTACTAGATTTGACAACGGGTACTCACATGTTCAAACACACTCCAATTTCTCTCACAGCCAGATGAACTACAAGTAAGACTAAGTACTTTGATGGCAAATTTTTGCAAATCAGGAGTTTTATGACCAAAAGAACTCCACCAATCAGCTGATCATGATAATTAGTTAGCACTTAGCAAACATTTTGAAGTAAAAGGTATTGACTACTAGAATAGAACATTGTAAATGATTACCTGGTACCCTTGTACTTCTTTGTCTAATTGCCATAGGAATCTGAAAAAGTCTTTCAGCCTTCTCATACTTAGTTAATTCTGTACAAACTTTATCTTGGACCTCTAGTGTTGGGATCAACCTTGATATACATTGATATAGGCCTGTCATGATTTCTTTGTCCTTTGCAGCATTTGGATCTTTGTAAAACAAACTAGGATTTAAATAAAACCCAGCAGCATGCAAAGGGCGATGCAATTGAATGTCCCACCTTTGATCAATGATTTCAAAGATCTCTTTATACTTCTCTTCCTTTCCATCGAATGCATTTGCAATAGCTTCTTTAGCCCTATCCATAGCCTCGTAAATATATCCCATTGGAGGCTTTTCTTCACCATCAACCATTCTTAGTACATGAACAAGAGGACATGAAAACTGCAGGGCAACGTAAACATGATTCCAAAATGAAGGCATTAGCATTATTTGAGCTGTCTTCTTACCCTGCGGCTCCTTCGCCCATTTGCTTTTGGTCCACTCCTCCGAAGTAAACATCTTCCTCAAGTTGTTCCTTTGTTGATAAAGTCTTTGCAAAGTTAAGAAAGCTGTTGCAAATCGGGTTTTCGCAGGCTTCACTAACTCCTTCAATTGAGTGAAGCTCCTCATCATATTCAACAAAGATGGACGATTATAAATATAACTGTGTACCCCAATTGCCCTTTCAAATGTCTTCTTAAAATTGGGTAATTTGAAAATGTCTTCCAACATTAAATCCATGCAATGGGCTGCATAAGGTGTCCAATACAAGTGGGGTCTCTTTGCCTCCAAAAACTTCCCTATAAGATTACAAGTTGCAAGTTTAAAACATACTACTTTAAACAAATAGATTATAGAACCAAAACAAAAGCACACTATTTGCAATAGAGCTAGAGGATTTTACCTGCCAATACATTTGCTGCAGCACTGTCAGTGACAATTTGGACCACATTAGCTTCTCCAATTTTGTCAACAAACTTGTCAAGCAAGCTAAAAATCTTGTTTGCATCCTTTGAGTAACTAGATGCATCAATAGACTCAAGAAACATGGTTCCTCTAGGACAATTCACCAAGAAATTAATCAAAGTTCTATGCTTCCTATCCGTCCACCCATCACACATTATAGAACATCCATGCTTTGCCCAATCCTCTTTGTGCTCCTTCATCAACTTATGGACATGATTCACTTCTTTCTTGAGATAAGGAATCTGTATCATGTGGTAGCTTGGTGGTTTCAAACCTGGACCAAATTGTCCTATGGCTTCAATCATTGGTGCAAAACTTTCATTATTGACTACATTAAACGGAATTCCAGTATCATATATCCATCTTGCAATTCTGACATAGGCCCTCTCCATTAACACTTTTCTATAAGGATCATTTTCATCAATTTTAATTTGCTTTCCCTTGCCTTTTGTTTTTTGCACCACTAACTCTGGCTCAGGTGTGAAGAAACAATCCATGGGCCTTATCTTCTTCCTAGGCTTTTTAGGTTTCAATCGAATAGAAGTAGAGGTAGTTTTTCGAGTAGAACCTTGAATAGGAACAGGCTATTTACCATGTGGAGAGATTTCTACAACATCATCCTCATCCTCAAAATCTTCTTCGTTGACCATTTCATCAAAGTCAGGCATCAAGTTCAATTGATCCTTCAGTTGCTTTTTTTTGGCCATATAATCAGCCACCTCATTACTAACCTCAGTTGGGCATCTAGGACATTTAAGTACATTCCTATACCCTCCAACAAGATGTTGCTTAACTCGGAAAACACCCCCATTCATCTCTTTTCCACAAAAATTACACTTGAACTTGCTTAGATTTACAGGATTTACCATTGTTGAATACTTCCATGCCGGATCTTTTTTTCCACTCTCGGGTGTTGTCATTTTATGTATGTACCTATTGAGATTATAAACACTGATTCAGTGTTCATTTTATTATTATTGTTTTGACAGGGAAAAGAAACAGAGCAGAACAGAGGTGGAAAAAAAAAAAACAGAGCAAGAGAAGAAGAACAAATTAGAGCAGAGCAGAGAAGTGGAGAAGAAGACGAGAAGAAGATGAGAAGGAAAGAAGACCAACACAGTAAAGCAAAAAAAAAAAAAAGAGATAGTAGAACAGAGGCACAGAGAAAAGAACCAGAGAAGAGAGAGAAGAGAAGAACAGAAGCAGAACAGTCAAAGCAGAAGAAGAGGAAAAAAAAAGGTTCAAGAAACAGAGAAAAGCTTCAAAATGGTCCAAAACTAAGATATTTATTTCCAAAAAATGCAGAACTTAGATAGCCATAACTTGCTGAACATTCTTAGTTTATCTTTATGTTATTCGTCCAATTAAAAATCTTGTATCAATGTTCAAAATTTCAAATCTTGTCTGTAATTCAGTGTAATTCAGTGTTCAAATCGTGTATCAATGAGGCTTATATGTTGACTTTCTTCAATCCTGGATTTTTGTTATGTCAGTGTTATCCAGTTTTTGTTTTTGTTTTTGTCTGTAATTCAGTGTAATTCAGTGTTCAAATCTTGTATCAATGAGGTTTAATTGGGAAGCTTTTGTTTTTGTTAAACAACAGTGATGCTTAAATTTATGAATTTGAAGTTCTCTTTCAAAAAAAAAATCTTGTCTGTAATTTGTTCAACATTACAAATAACAAGAACAAATATCAATGTATGCTTCACTTTTGTATGAAACTGGAAGTCTATGAAATGCACTAATCAGCCTGTTCTATCAATAGTCAGTATAACAAAATTCTTAAATAAAATAAAAAATAAAATAAAAAAACACAACACAATGAATCCCGAACCAGAACGGTCAAAGAAGAATAAAACCAGAAGAAAAGAAAAAAAAAAAAAAAACAGGGTATAACAGAGGCAGAGAATAGGAGAAGAGAAGAAGAGGAGAAGAATCGAACCAGAAGAAGAAAAAAAAAAAAAAAAACAGGGTATAACAGAGGAGGAGAAGAGGAGGAGGAGTAGAATCGAACCAGAGAAGAGAGAAGAGGAGAAGAGAGAGAGGAGAAGAGAACCTGTGTATTTGGCGTGTGTTATACTCTTCACGTCGCTTCTTCTTCTTCTTCTCCACTAGGGCATTTTTAAATGTTTTTGCTCTGTTGTTGACCCACGTTTCTACCATTTTATAATAAAACTGAGATGTCATCCCATGTGTAATCCACACAGTAAACAGATGGGGGGCTGTTGGAGTGAAATACACTTGAAGCTCATGAAGCGCACGCCTCAAGCTTTATTATAAAGCGCGCGCTTCGTCGCCTTACCTGCGCCTTTCCCAGGTCGCCTCGCCTCGCCATGTTTGAGGCGCACTGCTGCGCTTCATGTCGCCTTGGGCTTAGGCGCGCGCCTAAGCGCGCTTTTTAAAACACTGGTCTCCCTATCCTCCGGCCTTTGTAAAAAGTGTGTTGATCGTCGAGGGCTCCGTTTTAATCCGTGGATCTTGGAGTTTGGAGCATTTTGGTTTTCTTCAACTTCCCCGTTTGAGCCCTAACTTCGAGGTAGGGATATCCTATTCCTCTTTATGAGCTTTGTCTTTGAATTTTAGCATTTGATATGTTGGGGGTTGTTCGGTAATTTTGAGAAAGTTTGGGTCTTTGTGTAATTTTACAAAAATGGGGTTTCATTTATAATTAAACTTATATGCATGTTTGGCATAGAGAAATGAGATAGATGATGAACTATGGATGAAAGTGGAACCTTGGGGTTGTTATGTTAATTATGGAAAAATGCCCTAATTAGTTGGATAAATTAATTTGTATAATTAATTTTGAGAAATGAGGAATTGAATTGAGAATATTCAAATTGAAAAGATTATGGGATTAACGGGTGTAGTTGGATTCATTTAATCGCTCACCCAGGTTGAATATTGATAATATACCATTTAGTGCATTTGTTTTCTGTTTAGAAATAACTGCTTTGGGCTATCGGTAGAGGATAGTCTTGATTGTTGTAGACAATGCATGATGATTAGGCAAACTAAAACTAATCGATTGAGTATGCTATCGAATATAGCAGTTGGAATAATACATCGACTTTATGTATTGATTGTTTATATATATGATCTATGTTTATATACATTGTGTGTGGGGGAGGAGATAGAGGATGTACTTCACGGTTTAGGAAAAGATAGGGGATGGACCTCTAAGCCGGATTGTGTATGACATTGATACAGCACTACCATGTGTATCAAGTGTTGATTATGGAAGTGCTTAAATTGATTTGATATAGCACTAAAATGTATATCGTTATCAATTGTGAAGTATAGAAGTGTTTCTATGTTACGTAGATACAGCACCAAAATGTGTATCGTTCGTATAGTATAGGAATGGTTTATGTGTTATTGATACAGCATCAAAATGTGTATCCATCATAAATTTCGAAAGTGTTTTCAAGATGAATCTTATTCTCATTAAGTTATTGGGCTAAGTTTTGAGCCTTGTTTTCAAACTCAAGGTTGAAAAAGAAATGAGAAATGAAATGTAACATGGACTTAAATGTCATGAAACTGGAATGTGATATACGTGAGTGTATCGGTGTTGACCATCTATCAACTGCTAATCTTTTAGTCATTGTTCATAGCTGGTTTAGTGTATTTCTGCTAGGCTGTGGCTCACCCTTTATGGGACATCATTTTCAGGTGCAGGTAGCATGCCACCTCCAAGGACATAGCTTGGGAGGCTAGAGGCAGACAGATTGCTTTTGTTGTTTGCTTTCCTTTGATGTATTACATGTAAATTCAAGCCAATGGCTTAATATGTATTGAGTTAGTACTCTTCTTTTTGAACCAAGTATTAACTTGGAAAGCTGTAAGCCTGTAGGGCATTTGCTTTTGTTGTTAACATGTAATACTTTTGGAAGAACTACTCTGATTAATGGAAAGATGGTTATCTTCTTATATCCTTGCATGTCTAAAATGATGGGTTTCACGTATTATTTCGAGGGCGTTACAGGTAGAGAGAGTTTTGAACTGAAGGGTATTAATTAACCAATGGTTTAAAACCAACTACAAGATCCTTTAACAGTTCAACCAAGACAACTCCATCAAAGCAGGGCACATCAATTGATTTTGTACAAGCCAATAAAAGGGTTTCAAATTTTCAATAATCTGGCATCTGATTAGAGAAAAAGGGCATGCCAAACTACCATTTGTATAGGGAAGTACGCAATAAATTTATGTACCAACATGCACAAATTAAAGCACACAAAATCTAATGGTATGCTCGTGTATACACTACATAAGACTATGCCTTAAAAGGCAAACAATTTTCCAAGTTTTGCATGCACACAGAAAGGTCCTGGAAAAGCAAATTACCTTATCACATAAGGCTTGGAGATCATAAACATCAACATCTCCACCTGAAGAAAAAATTATCTGTTCAATCGATCCATCTGGATGAGTCTTCTCAACTAGAACAAACTCTTGAGGCAATGGACCTTCCCCTTCTTCGAGAGTGGAGGTTGGTTCAATAACTTGTGTGGTATTGTTTTTCAAAAATCTGCAACGCAAAGCCAGATAAACCAGTTTTAGCCAATCCATGAGATAAATAGATTAAATAGGAGCACAGCTTGCAGTATGATGCATAGGTCAACAAAAAGCTAATTAATTAATCACTAGATAATGGTGGAGGTCTATTCTTAGAAGCACAGGTACGGGCACAGACATGGATAGGAAACAATACAGACACGACGCCAACATGGCAATTTTCAATAAATCTTATATTTCACATTATTTAAAACATGAATATACATATATGAAAACAATAATCACTCCTTCACTTTTTACAACATATGAAATGTTTTGATTCAAATGGTCAACAAAATGATAGCACAACTTCTGAAAAGATGGTTTATGTATGTGTGTACGTTTGTTTACAACTGTTACTTACCCTGATCTGATGGATTCCCAAAAGCCAGCCTTCATTCGAGAAACCTTAATCTTTCTATTTCCTATGGATAAGATGATAAAAAACAACAAAGAGATTAAGAATAAGAACTATGAAATTATACAAGTAGTAAATTAGTGATCTATCATATTTCTAATAGCTCAACAACCTTCCTAATGAAACTCATACAAGGATGAATCGAGCTCATCAGCCAGGATGATGAGATTAACTATAGAAGTGAAGTAATATGTGAACAAATAGTTACATAAAGCAAGTGCAAGCCCTTGCATGACCACACACACAACCAAGTACAGAACTCGCAAGTGCAGCTGCCGCCCTAGACATAAGAGCTCCAAGGCAAATGAGTCAAAGTATGAAGAGCCCAACACAACTTGGCTCGCGTGATGAAGCCAACTTGCTTGGGAGCACCATGGTTCACACGGAGTCCTCACCCAGCATGGTCCTTCATACATACCTCATTCCAGCAGGGGACACACTCTCTCCCTCCGTACAACAGCATAGTTGGGCCCTTGGCTCACCTTTGCGCTCGCTCGAAATAAGATGCAACAACATTTCTTAGTGGGGAAGAAGAAAATTCACTTTCAAGAATTAACATGATTTGAAAAAATTTATTTCAGTTAGGGAGTAATCAGAGAAATGAGATAATATTTGAATCGCAAACCCCGGAAATGTAGCTTATGAATAACAAGAAGGGAAAAGCTACTACGTGCACTCCTTTTTGGGTGCATATGGTATGCACCTTATGCTAAAAAAACATATAACTTTTTATGACAAAATATATAACTTTTGTCACAAAAAAATATATTAAGTTTTCTACTTCTCAGAAAATGTATAACTCTAGTTATATACAACCTTTATGTGCCCATCATAACTTCACCATTCATAACTTTGATTACAAAAATGGTAACTTTGATCCCAAAAGTCCATAATTTTTATCACAAAAATCATAAATTATCTTAGAATGTGCACTTCCCTAACAAGAAACAATGGCGTTCACTTAAAAGACAGAGAAATATAGATGAGAATACAGACCGACCTGTACTAAATCCATAATTAAGATTGCAAGGAAATGGAAACAGGTTTGAGACTTTACAGGGGCAACCGACGGAAACAATAGCGCGGCTGCAATATAAGCAAGTGCAAGATAAGAGAATTAGTAATATTCCATCACCACCACAACACAACACAACACAAATGACGAAACCTAAATCAGACATTGATATTTAATTGATGCTCAGATTGAATTGGATTGAATAGTTGCCTACCAAATCCAAAAGTTTAAAAACACAGACCACCAAACAGAATCAAATGATTTTCGAAGACCCCTTCATTAGATAGATAGAAAGCTTCTTCGAAAGCTGTTTCTTTGAGAGAGAGAGAGAGACAGAGAGAGGAGAAGAACTTACGGAGAAGAAGAAGGTGAGACAGCGGCGAAGATTTGCATTGTTGGTTTTGGTTTGGGGTTCGGGTGGTGTGGAACTGGTGTGTGTCACTGATTAGATTGGTGATTACCAAGCGCACCCTGGATATTCCACAACCCAAACACCGTCTCTGGATCTATTATGATGACCACTGCCACGAAGCCGGACTTGTCACTGTTTTATTTTTTTCTCTCCCTCTTTTCGTTCTTTTATTTCTTTCTTTCTTTGTTTTTATTTTTATTTTTGTTGCTTTTTAAGTTTTTATGTTTAAATTCAATTAAGAAAAATTAGTGAATGGTTTGGTTTAAAAGATTATCGGATTTACTGGGTAATGAGTGAATTTGATATGTTGAATTGTTTTGTCGTTGATGTAAACTGAGTCAATAGCTTGTCACACAATTTTATTTTCATACACAACTTGGTTCTATCAGTTGTGTCTATTTTGGCTCTAAACAATTCTTGAATTCATGAGTACTTTAGAGAATTTAATCTTTTCAATTATCATAGAACCAGCCCAGTTCACACTCATATAGGTGATTCCCATTAAAAGTATCATGTTATACCCTACTTGAATTTCCAAGTTATGAGTCTCATTAAAAACAAAGTTTAACTTATTCAGCGCTACAGGTAATCACTATCTCATCATAGAAATTTGCAGGAGTTTTACTCTTTAGTGATTCCAATGAGTCATTCTTAATTCGGTTATCCTTTTGAACTTAGATCTTGGGATCTCCAATCAATTAGGTTGTGTTGCCTTTGAGGCAACTCTTAAGTGATAGGCTTTAATCTCATTCCCCTCGATGATAGCAACACTTGCTCTCTGGTCAAAGCCTTTGTCAATGGATCCACTATGTTTTTTTTTTTTTGACGTTATAAACTCAATGGAAATTATTCCATTAGAGAGCAGTTGTCTAACGGTGTTATATGGCTCCATTTGGCAAGAGCTTTGTGGCTATTTTAACTACAAAAGACAAAATAGGCTATTTTAGCCACAACAAACAAAACATCACTTCCAACTCATAAACATTACACTCTTCTCTTATAAAAAAATCAAAAAGTCATTCTCAAACTAAGCTTTTTAGCTCAAGCTAAAATAGCCAAAAAAATCAAAAAGTCAAAAAGCCAACCTACTTCCCAAACGGAGTCTACGACGAATGTAACGAAACTTACTGTTATACATATAATTTTGTGCCCTAGCCATTGCAGTTTGACTGTCGCAATGAATGCAAATTGTTGGCACAAGTTTTAGCCATATTGAAATATTTTCTATGAAATTACGAAACCATTCTTATAGCGATCCCCGTTATCCCTTTACTGTTCTGTTGTATTCCGGACTCAGTTCCGTGGAGTTGGTAGTTGTATCTACCTTGTTGTCATCATTTAATTCCATTTGTTCGGGTTTTAGGATGTATTGGGCAGAATTGTTACAGGTTGGTTAGGCTTTGGTTTCAATTCTTTGTTGCCCAGTTTTTAGGAGGTCCGCTCGAGCAGGTCTTCTTGCGCTCGAGCGGATATTGCACACTTCCAGCTTTTCGTGTCCCTACAAAACTTCTGCAGGTGTGATTTTTACGCTCGAGCGGGTTTCTTTACGCTCAAGCGGGTACTCTAGAGCTCGAGCGGGTAGTACCTTCTTGGTGTAAGTTCTGGGAGGGGGAAATCTACGCTCGAGCGGATATGCTTTATTCTTGTGTCTTGGCGCTCGAGCGGGCCTTCTTACGCTCGAGCGTGCCCAGATTTTTGTTCTTGACGCTCGAGCGTTGTGTTCTCCGCTCGAGCGAAAATGTCGTATATCAGTTGGCAGCTGGGCATTTTAAAATCACTTTTTGCATTCTCTCTCTCTCTCTTACTTTTCCAAAAAGCCATTTAAGAACTCCTCTATCTAAAACCATAACTTCTCTCTAAGTATTGATCTAGCTAGGGTGTTTTCCTCACCTTTGGTCTTCACAAAAGTTGGGTTGATCGTCGAGGGCTTTACCTTGATCCGAAAATTTCAAGTTTTGGAGCATGTTGAGTTTCGTCATCTTCTTCCCTTGAGCTCCGAATTTGAGGTAGAGATTCCTACTCACTATTATGATCTTCGACATAGATTATTGGTAGTTTTGATAAAGTGTTGAAGTTGATTGATTTTGGGACTTAGGGTTTCAAAAGGGTATAAACGGGGGTTTGATATTTTGATTCTTAAACATGTATTTTGGGTTTCAAAATAATGATGTTGTTATTGGTTGTTGATATATAGGCCATTGGGTTAATATTGAGAAATTGGGTAGAAAACCCTAATTTGTTGAATAAATTAATTGATATAATTAATTTGGAAAAATTTGTGGACTTATGGAATTGAGTTGGAAATAATGAAATTGGCTCATTATGTTGTGAAATGATGGAGTTGAATTCATAAATCGCTCACTTTTGAAAACATTGATATTTTATCTGTTGGAGCTTTTATTATCTGTTTAGAAATAATTGCTTGGGCTACCGGTGGAGGGTAGTTTTGATTGTTGTAGACAATGCATGATGATTAGGCAAACTAAAACTAATCAATTGGATATGTCATAGAGTATGACGGTTAATAGAATACATTAACGTTATGTATTGATTGATTGTGTATATGACCTCTGTGTACATATACGTTGTGTGTGTGGGAGGAAATGTGAGATGTACTCCATGGTTTAGAGGAAGATAGGGGATGGACCTCTAAACCGGATGTTGTTTGGGAGGAGATAGGGGATGGACTCCACTGACACAGCTCATGTGCTTTTCAGATAATGTGTTGATATAGCTCATATGCTTATCATTGGAAGTGTTGATATAGCTAATATGCATATCTGTTGGAATGTGGATACAGCTTATATGTTTATCTGTTGAGATGTTGATACAACTAGTATGGTTATCTATTGTAAAATGGGAAATGTTTAATATGAGTCATTGTCTCATATAAGTGGTTAGCCAGGTTCTGAGCCACTGATATAAATTGTGGAATTGATAAGAAATGGAAATTGAAATGAAATGGAAATGGGTTATAAATTGGTTTATGAAAATTGAACATTTATCAATTGCTAATGCCTTAGTTATTGCTCATACTGTGTTTAGCATATCTCTACTAGGCGTTGGCTCACCCTATATGGGACATTATTTTCAGGTACAGGTAGTATGACACCTCCAAGGACGTAGCTTGGATGATGATGAGAGTTGAAGACTCTTTTTTTTGTTTATTTTGATGTATTACATGTAAATTCAAGCCAAGGGCTTAATATGTATTGAGTTAGCACTCTTCTTTTTGTAACCAAGTGTTAACTTGGAAAGCTGTAAGCCCATAAGGCATTTGCTTTTGTTGTTGACATGTAATATAGTTGTAAGAATTACTCTGATGAATATAAATGGTTGGTTTCTTTTATATCAATGCATGCCTAAAGTGATGAGTTTTGTGTATTTTTTTGAGGGCGTTACAATTCTACTTCTTTTCCTACTTTGTCTAAAACAATAAATTCATATTCCATTGCGGATGTAGTTATGCAAGTTTATTTAGAAGATTTACAAGAGACTGCTCTACCTCCCAAAGTAAAGATATATCCACTAGTGGATTTAGAATCCTTAGTGTCAGATATCCAATTAGCGTCGCAATACCCATATAGTAGGGGTGAGCAGCGGATATATCGATCTGTCCAAACCGATCGAACCAAACCGATCCGCCGCATTTTGGACGGATGCGTGATGACGAGCAGATGGTTGCGGATTGATTTTTTCCAATCCACCTAGTTTTGGATGGATGGTGGATTTGAAGTTCATTTGGCCGCAACCAAACCGCCAAACCGCCGAACATCCCTAGTAATTTGTAAGACTTTGTGTTTTCAATTGAAAAATAGTTTAAATATTCAGTTGAATATATTATGTTGAAAAAGAGTTTTCAGCTAAAATATATTTTTTGAATTGAAAAAAATAAATGTATTATTTATCCATATATTTTAGTTTTTAAATTTAACTCTAAAAATAATAAATAAAAAAGATTATATATGCTAGTTGGTTTTTGTTTCGAAAACAAATATAGATGTAACAATAAAAGCATACAATCTCTACTACTGTTCTGTTCATGGTTTTGGTGGTTTGAATTGTTTTTATATTTTAAGAACCACAGATTTTAATACTTTATGTGGATGAGGCATGCTATGATTGTAATGTGTGGATAAAGTTTCAAATTTAATTTTTTTGGATGAGGCATACAGTGATTGTAATATTCTGTTAAGTCATTGACTGTAATTTTTATTTTTATTTTTTGAGAAGTGCACAAGTTGAATTATGTTGAAAATTTATAAAATTTTAAACCGCTAAACCGATTCATATCCAGCCGCCAATCCACTCAATCCACATTCGTCAGATTAGCGGACGGATGCGGATTGATTTTCTCCAATCTGCCAATATGGCGGACGGATGGCGAATTGGAAGTTCCGTGGCCGCAACTGACCTGTGCCCACCGCTACATAAAAAGTGACTTTTTATTTCTATAAAGTGAGCCCCTCCAATTTTTTGTGGATTGAAACCCACATGTTTATATTTATAAATTCACCCATAATGATGTAGTGTGAGAGTTAGGTCCACCATTATTAAATGTGTAAC